AAAGCAGTTTATTAAAAAATGTAAATGAACAGACTGAAGTTTTTCATGGTGTTTACCCAGTTCAAACATTTACCCGAATCACACCAGTGAAATAAGAAACAGTATTAATTAATGCTTGAGGAATACTTTGATTTAGAATGCCAAACAAGTATTGTGAACTAGAGATAACTGAATGTCAAGGAATCCTGATTGGGACTGGCCAGTGAAATGCAAAGTCACATACTTGAAAATAAAATAATTGAAGACAGCATATACCTGATGAGATTGTAAAGTGGTTTTAAAGCTATTTTAGCACTTTTGCTCTTCCTCAAAGCTTTATTCATCACAGGAGTTGTAGAGGAGTAGAACACATACTCTAAGCTCACTTATATTCTGCAAGAGGAAGCTCTGGCTGCTGCCACAGAGGAATACAGATTGGAATTTTTCATGCACATACCCACCAAAAGAAGTCATTACGGCCATTTACAGAATATGGGGTCGAATACTTTGGATGTGAGACTGCACTGAGAAGGAGATTGAGTATGTACTTAAAAGAATGACTCACCACAGGCATCATGACCCAACACAAAAGCATCTACTCTGACCTCAAAAGCCACAAAGACAGCATGGAACTGGATATTTTAAATGCACTGATATGGGTACAGGGACAAAGGTTAGAGGAAATGAAGTGTGGGAAGAGTCAGTGATTCTCACACAAAACAAGCAACCCATTCTGTCTGTTTTTAGAGAAGATCCATCTTTAGAAAAAAAAATATGACATGTCAGCTTCCATACATTTTTGTTCTTATTTTCTTGCTGTTGCCATACAACATAAAACAAGTATGGCATTTTATTCCAACGTAAAAGCGAGTTTGAATCCTCAAACCCATCATGTAGAACAAATCATAATATTAGATAGCCTTAGTTATGCAAAAGAACAGGCATATCAATCTGAACAATTGAACTGCTGTTAGTGAATACTTTCTAATAGCAAGAATAGTGAAGAACTGGGTTGGGCTGTTTGTTTCTAATCTGGCCGTAAAACTCTCTGGTAATAGTTTAATATCTATCAGAAAATAAACTTTGGAGGGATATTGCATGAAGTGAACCAAAATCCCTTTTCAGCCAAGGCTGTTCTTGCAGTCCCACATGGTACCATTGGTACCACAGGATAAAAACTGGAAAGGCTTTGGAAACACTGATGGAAAAACTAATAAGGAAAGTGAGCACAAAAGAACAGACAAGAGGTTCATGTAAGCATCAATACACCCGTGGACACTGCTTACAAAACCTTGTCTGGATTCCTGAAAAGAAAAGAAACAGAAAAGACAGCCCAGTCCTGCCAAAGCATCCTCTCCAAGAACAGCAGGCAGATTCTCTGACCACTGTTAACAAGATTTGAAAACTGTCTGAGTTTACAGACAAAATGTGCTAAAATGGATATGAGAGGAAAAGATTACACTAATAACAAAAATTCAGGAAAATATAAAAAGACAAACTTTGTGCTCTGAACTAGGCACATTCCAAGACACCCCTCTCAGCACCAAAGGGAGAGCTTGCAGAAATTTTAAAATCATACAAAACCCAGGTACTTCCATGGCTTCATAAAAGAATCAACTTAAATCAACAGCAGAATGCAGACAAGTTCGAATAAAGCTTTCCCTATACTCATCTTCATCCAAAAGTAAGAGGAAAAGACAATAGTTAGCATCATGAATGGAAAATAAGGGAAAAAACCACTAAAAGCACAAAGCCACCGGAGTGGTCTGACTGTTCTCCAGTGCTAAGCAATACATAAGAAATCCAGAGATGCATGTGAGGGATGGGAGTATGCAGGTAGAGGGCACATTTTTGGAGCACCTGTAGCATAGGTAATGAAAATAGTTCATTTTGGAGCTGAAGTAGGATTGAGAAAAAAGCATCCATGCCAGCAGTGTGCCTAAATATCCTAAACTGAGTGCTTGGAACAACAGCTAAACATTTGTAGTACTGCACCTCAGGCCATCTCCAGCAGTGCAAAGAAACTGCTCTGAGAGCAGTGGTGAACCTCCTCCTGCAGCCTCTTCTTTGTGCATCTCCTGTCATAGCACAGCCAAGAAGGCAAACGAGGTGAGGGAAAACCCACAAGAGCAGAGAATCACTGTCTAGGGCTGGGAGCCAAAGAGCAAAGAAGAACCTGGGAAAAGCACGTCCAAGACTTAATCTGCTCTTCCAACTTCCCTCTTCTACAGCTGCTCCTCATATGCTGGAAACAAGAAAACTGCAGGTGGGAAACATGCACAAGCTTTGAAAAAGAGAGTTGATCAAAGCACTCAATAAATTTAGCCCTAAAAGAGAATATAAATCTTTTCAAACAGGTTGATGATTGAACAGACATGAAGATGGAGGTCTCACACAACACTGTGTTCAAGTACTTGCACTTGGAAAGATTCCTAATTTATGTTTAGTTAAAAGTGTTCTGAAAGATATCTGGCATTCTGGTTTGAGTATTTACCATATTTAGCAAACAGCAGATTTATACTGCTTTTACATTTCTTAACATGATTCATTTCTATATATATTTATTAAGTAAATATGGTTCCTGTGAGTGAAAGCAGAAATATTATCCCAATATACGAGCAGAGATGCACAGCTGGTTTAAAGGTCATAAAGGAAATCTCCCCAAGCTAATACAACCAAACTTCAGAAACAAACTCTGAAGCACTACCAATCTTAACCTTTGTTTTGGACATCTCAACTAATTGTTAGGCTTTGCTTGGTTTCTGACATCCCAAGTCGTGCTGAGACTCTGACCTGAATACACATCATGCAATTCTTACTGCAAAGAGAAATAAGAACTAGAGTCCTTGTGATCCTTGCAAAAGGTCAGCAACACTCTGGTTTACACAGCATTAAACAGTGGGAAAGTGGAAAAACATTTCTATTTTCTAAAGTGCTACAACATGGATTTCACCTCAGTATAATACCATAACCTGAAGTCCATTGCCTTGAGCAGAAACAGACAAAACCAACTGGTGGAAAACAAGAGTACAGGCACTACTGTCTTTTTTGATTTGTGGAGCCTAAACATTTTACAACAGTTAGAAGTAAGTACTGTTAGAAGTAAGTACACAGATTTAGCTGAGGATCAAATACCACATTTAATCCCCAAGTTAGCTCAAGAGATTTCTGAGTTAGACAACTACCCTCTCAGTCACCAGCACTGCCTTTTCATTTAAAGACTCCTCTGAAAAAGCACTCATTTATATTTTGCTTCTCCCTACATCTCCCAAAACAAAGGCAAAAAGGCATGATATTGCTTTCTATACATTATATTTTTAAAAGTAAACAGTCTTCATATTTTATGAAAACTTCAATCATATTTGAGCTTATAGATGCCCCAAGATAAAACCTTTATTACAGTAATGGAAGCTTGTTTTTCCTGGTCTTTAACAGTCTCCCAAAACAGCTAATTCCCACCCTGGAACTGTTTCCTGACCTCTAGAAAGGGTCATCTATGTATAACACCAGACAAAATATGGCCACAGCGTTCCAAAGCTCTGTGGTAAGATCACCAAAAAGAATTCAGCAGGTTCAGTTCACATCTGAACTGAGCTTTGTTTTTCATGACAGAACAAGCACTCAGAAGGAAGCGTTAGGTTTGAGTGAAGCCTCACCTGGCTGCTGTAAGCAGCACACACGTGAGCCACGAGGACATCCCCAAAACACAGGTCACCAGTCTCACTGCTGCCTGACCAGGACCAGCAATGAGGAAACCTCAGAGCAGGTTACACTGTGGAAATAAAGAAGCCTGACAGAAGATACTGCCCCAAACTCTACCTAACATCTCCCATACACAGCACAGCAAGCCCAGGTCTTGGAGTTTAGCATGTAGGAAACAAGCAGTTTATTATTTGAAACTGTGCCAAGTAACCAAGCTGAATAGGAAACCCTGTTTGAAATTTCAGTTTGTAAAAATTGTGACTTGACAATTGAAGTGTATTTCATTTACAGCTAACAGTTCAATTAACAAGAAGCAAAAACATTCATTCACTTCACAATGAAATTTTCTTCTACTCAAGTATCCATGTCTTAATCAGCATGAACTCATTTGTATTCCTATTTAAAATGCCTTTCTCAATAACACTTGCTGACATCATCCAACCGTTACACATTTTATACATAAATATCTCCTAAGCATACAAAAAAAATCTGAAAATCCAACTAGTTTTGCTGATTAAGATCCACCCAGGCAAGCACATGACTAGTCACCACAGTTTCTTTGTCAGTTGCCCCTGCCCAGCTGAAGGGGAAAAAAGGAAACAATGCGAGAAAGGTCCACATTTTCTGCTATACTGAATTAAGCCTGCTCCCAGAAATCAAGAAATACATCTCTTGTATCATTCAAATTTAGTGATTCCAAGTTTAGACTAGAAGTGGCTTCTAGAGGTCGTTTAATCCCAACACCTTCTCAAAGCCAAGGTGAAGGTCATCTTCATGGCAGACACCACATTACACTGTCAGGATCAAATCCTTACCAAGACTGATTTAAATCATCAAATGCCCTCAACTGCTTTGGTTTTTTACTAGGAAGGTTACCAAGAGCTGAAGAAATAAGCACTGCTTATTCTCAGGACACAGACAGTAATGGATGGAAGGACAAAAGCAGTTGAAGAAGCCCTTACAGTGGTCATAGGAACACAGGTTTATCAGATAACACCTCCCCCAGTCCTGACAAAGCTGGAGGGACAGGAGAATAAAAAAGCACAGGAACAGAGAGAAAGCTTTCACTTTATTCATCTATTAACCAGAAAATCCATCAAGAACAACCTTAGCAAGGAATCCAGGATCTTGTCTCCTATTTATGAAGCTAGAGCTGGACTTCCAATACTGACCTTAATCAAACAGACTCCCTCAGCCTTTGAATTAAACTCAGGTTTACTCTCAATTCTGAGTACAATAAACCACTCAAACCATTTCAACAAACTGTAAAAAACAATGACAAGTTGCCATTTCCAAGAGAAGTCCCACATTAGGCTCACTTCACAGAATCCAACTTCCAGCAATTTCAAGTAGGTTTAAGTCAGTAGCAGCTTTCAGCAGGTTCTTTTTCTTGAAAAAAAAAGAAAGAAAGCTTAGCTCAGGGCTGCTGTGTTTGCCACTCCACTAACCAGTCCACTTGTTCAATCTGTCCTTCAAGTGGAAGGCACAGCAAAATGATCTGCACACTTTCACAAGATGATAGGGACAGATGACTGAGGGACCAAGACGATATTGCAACATCAAGGCTTTCATTGCCTATGAGCAAATGAAGTTCTCATTTCTAGCCTGGCAGAGGATATATTGTTATCTGCATGACAAAAGGGCTTTACATCTTAAAAGAAATAGTCAGCACTACATGAAAAATTGAAGAGACATTCTGTGCCACAGCTGGATTATGAATCACCAACTAACACTCCTGCCACCAGCAGCATGAAACCATCTCTGCAGGGACACTCAAGCCCTACCCGAATAACTGCTGCAGTAGTTCACACACCTGCAACCCCCTCTACATTCAACACCCAAAAAGCAACTGTTGTCAACTGTTTCAATGATTTGACACTTCTCTATTCTTTCGATAAATTGCCATTCCAAGTCTTGTCTGGTTTTGTTGATGCTGTTGATGCAAAGGATCCAGAAAGGATCTTTGCATTTCATTCACCTTTTAAATGCTAAATTATTTAGCAGTCTCAAGTCACAGCAAAGGCCAGGAAACTCCTTTATCTGATCTGCAAAACCTCCAATTGCTCAAATTTCTGTATTTTTAGTTACAATGGTATACAAATACATTCACAGAACTGAGATGCTATAAAGCAGTTCAGAAGCAGAGACACTCAGGTCTCAAAACTACAAATATGACAGACATTTCCTATTACAGACCGACAACTGATTTCAATAAAATTTATCTACAGGAGACTTTTCTAGGTTAGCTTTCAGGGAATGTATTGCTGCACTAGCACAGTCCTGACTCACCACTTGCCCAGAGTATTCTACTGATCAGGCACTGATCTACCTTCACACAGGCTGGAAGGAAAACACCCAACCATGCCCCAGAGCTAGAGAGCAGCAGGTCCCTGCATTTATACAGCACCACTCAAATGTCTCCAGAAAAAGCCAATTATAGACACTGAGCTGACAAACATTACTGATCTCAGACTTGTGAATATGGAATTGTCTCAAAAAAGAAATTGTCTCAATAAAGAAAATTCACTTTTCTAATGTAATTCCCAGAAGTCTATAATATAAAGACACTAAGATAAAAGCTGAAGGCTATCTTTTTTTTTAAAGTATCCAGCCTTTAGTATGCATTTGAAATCTGTCTTCCCACTTTTCCTCACTATAAAAATGTAAACCCTTTGTATGTGGTTATTTGAATATAGTACTTTTCCATGTAACAGCAATGTGAGAACAAAAACTTGAAGAACATGCTGAAAAGTTCCTTGTGATCAGTTATTTTCTGCATGCCTTGCAAATCCTTCCTGATAAATGTCTGTTCTGTAATTCCCTTGAGAAATACTCTGTTGAAATTACTTTGGGACAGAATGTATGTTTTTACAAGTGACAATAAAATGATATAAATAACTTGCCTAAAAAAAATCCAAACATGTAAAGTGTATTTCTATAGAGAAAGTTGAAGTAAGCCATCTGTAACAGAGTTCATGGCTTTTCATACTTGCAGTGAACTTTAAGTTTTTTAAGGTTAAAATAATATTAGCAGAAAAGATTTCTCAAGTAAGAAAAGTATCTTTGATATTTGGAAAATTTTCACATCATTACACATTCAAAACAATTCACATAAAGTCTCACAGTCTAAGTTTAATATGCAGTTAATAATGCTATAGGTTTTTATATCCAAATGTAAACAGAAGAACTATCAAATCTTATGTCAAGACAAAGACCACTGGGGTTAGTTTAATACAAATACCTGCAAAGTTCTGTACTCTCCAAAACTCTCTTTGGCTAGAATTAAAATTTATTTCCCTATTAAAAAAGCTGCAGTACAGCCACAGCCAGTGTGATCACTGTGACCCATTTAACACCAGGCACTACCCTCTGCTAAAAACCAGAAACACAGAGGAATTCAAACCTTCATCATGGTGTTGAAATAAGAAGCATCACTACAGCAGCTGTCCCATGTGGCACTTATGCACACAGTAAATTTGTACAACTTCTTAGTGCAGCTGTCACATAGATTTTGTTATGATTTCACAGGTTAGACCCAATGAGCTAAGAGCCTGTATCAATAAACTCTGATTAAGTTGTTATTTGATAAATGTATCATTTTAGGAACTTAAACAAAGCTGCACCTGCCTGTATTTTTAGGAGTTAAAATATGCCTTAAACTTATGTTCAAACTGATCTTTTTCCAGTGTGCTAGCAACCCTTTCTGATTCCAAAGCAGCTGCAGCAGTGCCAGTGCCAGCTGCAGGAGACATGTGCTATACCTCGCCTGTTAAGATTCTTCTGCACTCTTATTTATACCTAAGGCTTAGCTTCTCAAGCTTCACTAAATGCTAATGTTCCCAAGCTGGATTATCCTGTCACCTCCAACACCTCTTCATGTCAATGCTCCCATGCAGGCTTTCCCAGCCCACACCTGTCCGGAGCTATGCTTGCTTTAATGGGACCAAATATCAGAGCTGGTTTGCTTGAGTACATTCCTTAAAAACAGAAAGCTGAACCAGGTTAGTCAACCACAATTACTGAAAAAGCACTTGTCACATTACCTCTCCACAAATAACCCAGAAGTTTTAAATTGATGGCATTTTGTTCAAAACCATCAGCAAGCAGTATGAATCACGCACTATCTGTTACTTGAAATTGACATTTAAAAAGCAGGGATCAAACTAATATGATTCAGAAGCTTTTCTCTCACTTGCTTTTTCCTATATTCAGAGCTTTAAGAAAAAATATTTGTGCTTCTACATTACAAGTACATATCTGGTGTTAGTGAACAATTTACAGAATCCTGATGATGTCACACGATTTATACACAGCTATTAACTGACACGGAATGGGAAACTGGCAAAATACTGATGGCCTAAGATGGAAGAGGTCTGAAGATTGCAACTCTCTAATGCTCAAGCTTTGCATATTTTGATACAACCTAGATTCAAGCAGTAACTTGCTGTTGCAAGGAGAAAGGTCTTGCCCTCTCCCCCTTTCTCAGCTGGTTACAGCTCATTGGACATTTTACAGAGCTACTTAACTCCCTAACTCTTCCCTTTGGGAGAATCTCAGGAAATCGAGGAGGCTCAGTATCTTCAATTAGACCCAGCTGAAAGGAAAGGCTCAAAGAAATACCAGAGCTAATTGAAAAAGAATGTGTATGGGAACTGCCACTGCCATGCGTGGTGAAGTCATACCAAGCTCTAAGAGCCACCTCCAATCACCCAAGATAACTTCTTGGATTTGTTCTGCCAGCAGTGGGCTGTAGCTCTCACAAGACATCAAGAGAAGCATCCAGCAAGGTCCTCTGCCTGCATGAAGACAAGCCAGGTGCTGGAAGGTGCAGACACCAGCTGTCCACTGCCTAAGGCTATGGTTTCACTGCAGCCTAAGCCTGTTGAGCTACCAACTACTCCTAGAGCATCATCTTTCAGCCTGGCACCTGTTCCCTGGACAAATCACATGGTGGTTCAGCATGCTGAAGAAACACAAGAGCATTTAGTTCATTTACCAAATTAGTTTATGCCAAATGAAAGGGTGAAATGGCTCAGCAAAGGATCCAACAAGCAGCTGGCAGAAGAAAAAGGGATGTGAGTACACAGCCAGGAGTTAGTGATGTACATTGCTATAACTCCACAGGCTGTGATTCAACCCTCCCTAAAATTCTACTGCTGCCAGAAACAAAGAACACTGGAAGCTATTCCAGTAACAGAGGGCCCCAAAATAGTCTTAAGTGGGACAAAATATGATTACCAGAAAAAATTAGGGTTATATCATAAACTGACATGACTTCTTCCCCCCCTTTCCAATCTAAAGCAAAACATTTATTCTCCTGATGAAAGATGAGATTCTTCCCCACAAGTCTGAAAAAAGAAATTCAATTCTACAATTCTGATTAATTTCTTATTATTATTTATTATTATACTGCCTTGTCATATCTTACATGAATTGCAGCAATTTCTTATCTTAAGCTCAGCAAAGAGTAGTTGGGAGTCTATTCTGTCATGTTTCCCACATATTGAAACAGTAAGGATTTAGTCAAATATTGGTTATCTCAATTTCATTTCAGCAGCATGAGTCATGTGCAACAGCAGCTACAACATACTGCAGTAAATGCACCCGGAGCCAGCACTCTGCTCCAAAAGATTTCAGGAGGTTACCTATGATAGTTACTGACTAGATGTCAGGGCTGGAAAAAATGCATTCCAATATGCCTATATTTCAGGACTTTTGGAGACTCTGAAGATTTGCTCCTCTGCTCTAGAAATAGTACAGAATTTGTAATTATTGAGATATTCCAACAAGATGCTTGTATATGTGAAGAGATGGTAGCTTTAAATGGAATATCCTACTTCAGTAAGTCTTACTTACTTATCCTTTAGGTATCAGAGGGTGTCTTTGTCAACGTCCTGGATAAGTGAAAATTCAAACAAGGCAGACTGTTCTTAAAGTAAGACAGGAAAAACTGGGGCATAAGAGCAGCACCATACCCAGGGTAGAATACAAGCAAGGAAACAACACTCCTAAAATGACAAACTACAAAGCTTGTACTCCAAGCTTTCTTCTCTACCTCCCTGTGCCACTATCCTGCACTGGGAACACCCTCCTGGCTCCCCAGTTTTCCTGGCAGAAATGCAATGTTAGCAAGCTCCAGATTTGCAAGTGTGACAGAAGATTCACAGTTTACTGTTTCCAGTACTTCACTCCATGTTGATCTGTTTTCTCTCCTGTGTAGTCCCATACTATCACCAGAACTGGTTTTGCCACAGCTCCCTCTCCACTGCTTTCCCAACTATGGAGACTGACACTTTCCATATATTGTTAGGCACAGCACATCCTCAGTACTGGTATGGGACACTAATTCTGTTATATTAGAAACTCAGCCTTTGATGAACATATAATTATGGCCCAGACATCAGCCTGAGATTGCTTAGCCTATTCTTACCCAAAGTCCATTCTCCCAAAATCTCTTTCATTTCCATTACTAAATGTTTTGCCAATTACTGGATTTCAGCAAACAATATTCCAAAGTCCAGAAGAAACACACCACCTTATATCCAAGGCTTTAAAAGAGCAGCCAAGGGAACTCCAACAGGAACAAATAGTTTATTTTCATTTCCAACACTAAATCTTTTGCCAATTACTGGATTTCAGCAAACAATATTCCAAAGTCCAGAAGAAACACACCACCTTATATCCAAGGCTTTAAAAGAGCAGCCAAGGGAACTCCAACAGGAACAAATAGTTTATTTCTTAAGTAACAAACACAAAAAATTTACAAAAAAAAACAAACCCAATTCGTGCCATACTACTTACCTGAAATGAAAGGAACTACAGAACAGGCACAGCCAAGTCAGACCTGCTTTAACCACCATTTGGTTATGTTTATTTCTTAAGTAACAAACACAAAAATTTACAAAAAAAAAACCCCAATTCGTGCCATACTACTTACCTGAAATGAAAGGAACTACAGAACAGGCACAGCCAAGTCAGACCTGCTTTAACCACCATTTGGTTAAGACTGTCTGAGAAGCCCTCCAAACAAAGCTTGGCAAGTTCTACAGATGACATTTTGAAGGGCAGTTGAAAACTTGAATTCTTTTGGCTTCACAATCCCTCAGACACCACCGTATAATTAAAGCTATGAATTTATCATCTTTTCATATTTGAACACAATAATAAAACAAAAGTAGACTTTTCCCCTATTAATTTACTAAATTGCTGAGAAATCCTCTGTGTTTTGCACTTGTTAGGGGAAGAAAAAAAAATGGAAAAAAGGATCCAGAAATAAATCCTGTCAGTCTTAAGCCTCTTGAAGTCAACTAATAACCAACACTTTGACTACCTCATTCTCTTATGCACTTCACACATTTTTTTTATCAGCAACAAAGCCTTCTGCCACTCAGTCTTGTGACTAAGCCATCCTTTGCCATTTCATGCTATCCCAGTATCCTGAACTGCAGGCTAAGGGTGCCCACTGCTCACCTCATTACTTATCCCAGCCATGATACACAAAAAGCACGTTCCAGTGTCTTAGATTTCCATTCCCTTTTACATGAAGAAACTGTATAAACAATCCAAGTCAAAAGAATTTCAGAACCAGTGAAAAATAAGATTTATTTTGCAATTCACTGTATGCCAGGAGAGGTGAATGGTCCAAAAGACTGAAACCAGCCAGCCCAAGTCAGCTCTTGCCACAGTCTCCCGCAAAACAGTGCAGGATTATTTGTTTCTAGGACTAAAATCACTAATGAAGGCAACACAGCACAGGCTCTTTTTAACATATTTACTATTAAAATACTCAAGCCAATAATATTCCTAACGTTTCTGAAAGATAGGTTTTTTCCCAAGTACATCAGAACTTGCAAAAGTAAGGTCAAGGACCAAGGAAGATTTCCTAACAAATTCAGAACTTGGAAGAAATTCTGGTATTCCACATTTAAGTGGTTTTGTTTCCCTGTGACACAGAATAAGGATTTCTCCCAAAACAGTAGGGATAGCTGCAATTCCTCAAAAGCATCCTTGTCAAAGTGGCACCAAGTAGACCTTTAGAAATCAAATGTCAGCCTCAGCTTTGTCCCTCACAGCTACGAAAAATGCAAGTTATTCCTTTAACAAGAATTAGTCATCTGTGGGATTAATGTGCATACAAATAGCTTTACCATATACATCCCAACAATCCCATTATGCAAGAGATTAAAATAGACCGGTCTGGTAATGAAACGCTTATCACCAGACCTGTCCCACTGGCAGTGCATGCACCAGCCCAGATCTGGCTGGTTCACCCTCACAATTCAGGGTCCAGTATCAGAGCACAGGTTTGCACCACAGGATACAGAACATGCTGATCTGGAAGGGACCCACAACTCCAGTAAACACCAGTCCAACTCCAGTAAACACCAACAGCTGCCCCCAGAGCCAACAGCAGTGCTGCTGATGGCACTGGCCACGAAGGAGCCACTCCTGGGGTCACACAGCACCACAATATGGCCAGCACTGCACTCCTGCCACGGAGCCTGACCTGCATCAATAAAGCTTTAGCTACCACTCGACTGTGTATTCCAAGTTGCCATCAACTAGCCTTACCTGCTGTCATAAACCAATCCTCAGAAAAGAACAGAGGCTTCTGAAAACAAACTTCACTTAGGAATTCATACCTCGTGAACACTTAGTGTTGAAATGTGTTTATTGATCACTCTTCTTGTCTTAAAAATAGCAGAAGTTTAACAGCTCCCATGAACATAAGAAACATTTTCCCTCTCTTTCTAAAGGGAATCATGGAAGCAAAAAAACCAAAAAAGGTAAAAGGAATGCAGAAAGCGACTTCATTTTGGGACTCCCAAGCCACTCACATTATAGACTGAAACAGCATTTTATTAAAGGTACATGAACAACTGGGGGGGAAAAAAAAAAGACAACTTTTCTGTATTCACCTACTGCCCTCAAAATTGTAAAGGCTTGTTCCCTTGAGTCACCCATCTCTCCCATAGATCACTATCACAAGTGTCTCCATTATTTTATTCTCTAACAATTCCTCACAGCACATGCCACAACACTCAAAAAAACCAAGCACAGCTCTGTGTGCACTGCAGCAATGCTGAGCAGGAATACTTCAATTTTCCACGGCCTGGAGAGGGCAGGAAGTACAGCAAGAATTCAGAAACTTGTATGAGCCAGTAAGCTTGAGAAAAATCCCACTGAATAACTGGTGCTAAAACACTGCCTATTTAGTCAAGGAGAAGCAATTAGCATGGAAGCCTGAGCTGCTGTGGCAGGTGAGAAACACCTGGATTCATTGAACTTCATTGGGAACAGACTGTAACAAAGGTTCCGAGTCAACCCCAACACAATGTTCTGCATTCCTGTGCCCTGACAGTAACATTGTGATGCCACACAAGCAAAGCCAGAGCTGGCATGCAGGGAGATCAGCTCCTCATGGGAACAGACTGTAACAAAGGTTACGAGTCAACCCCAACACACCAGGGCACAATGTTCTGCATTCCTGTGCCCTGACAGTAACATTGTCGCGTCCCCTCAGCCGGGTCCCCTCAGCCCGCGCAGCCGCCGCGCCTGCCGCACGCGCACGGCCGCCTTACACCCCGCCTGCTCGGATCTCTCCGCTCCCGCCTCAGCGCGGCCCTCTCGCCTCTCCAAGAGGACCCCTCGGGAGAAAGCCCAGCCAAGCCAGGAGCACTCCCTGCTCGGCGCTCGGCGCCACAATGTTCTGCATTCCTGTGCCCTGACAGTAACATTGTGATGCCACACAAGCAAAGCCAGAGCTGGCATGCAGGGAGATCAGCTCCTCAGCTCCGGGGGCAGTGCTGGCCAGCCATACACTGCAAGCCTGAGCTGGGCCAGGAAATCCCCTGCAAGAGCACAAGGTGGAAACAGGGAGAATCCCTCTCCTTGTGCTTGCTTTACTGCAGAGCACCAGAAATTGTTACAGTCACCTTCTAACAGTCAGGCACACACAGGAGCTGGACCCAAGCCTCAGGTATTAAAGGAACACGATTCTCTTCTCCCTTTTCTGAGCCATGAAAGGTTATCACCACATACCCTCTGTGTGCCCCACCATGGGCAACCAAAGGAACAAAAATCCACTTATAACCAAGACAGTGTGGTCAGATCACACAATCCACCATTTTTCTGTTCTGAAAATTGCTGGGATCCTATATAAGAGCTAACTTAGGATTTCAAAGACTAACCCAATACTTTAGGCACTATTTCTAAGCCAAACTTCTCAACTTCTATTTCAAGACATGCCAGATTTCTAAGGACAGAGGAAAAAAATACCAGTTTCCCTCAATTTCCTGAACTCTGAAGTTACAGGACCTGCCACCAAGTGATACAGTTCTAGAAATACTGAATATCTCATCCCTTCTAAGTGTATATGATACAGATGTGAAAAAAGCCAAGAGAAGGTAAAACAGCATTTCACTATCTTCAGATAGGTTGTGCCCCTGCACCTGTGGCCAGGATTAAAGAAGAAAAGCTAGGCAAAACAAATTCTTTGTTTTCATCAGCAGTTTATGTTTACACTCTTCAGAAGTTAAGAACGATCACTTCAGAACAACATACATGTGCTATAAAAGTGGTCAAAGGGGTCACATGCAAGGCAAATAAAAAAGCTACATTTTTTGCAGCTTTATGAAATTATGTCTTAAAATACTGTCTATTTCACTTTTATCTTAGCCTTTCTCAATTTCTACGCCTGAGTATGTTTCATAATGTATACATTGGTACAGTACTACGTGTGGATAACTGATAAACCAGTAAAATTGCATACATGAGAGATGCATGATTAAAAGTGTTCTTTATTGACAGCCAAAAAAGCTGGAGGCCGCTACTCTAGAGAGCAGGAGCTCTTTTATTTCTGTTTACCTGCCCTCCCTCCTTTTGCTCTAGCGCTGGTTTCCCAGAGGATTGGAATGAATGGCGCCTCGCAAGGCACGTGGGTGGCCCCGGGGTCCTCAAGCCCAGGCTCGGGGCTTCTTTCTACCACCTCGAAATAAGAGACTTGGTTCCCCAGGATCGGGGAACTGGGTGTGGAAACCTGGACAGAAGTATCAGAAAACCGCACCATAATAAATCACCTGCTTGACAAGGGAACGTTAAGTGGACCTACAGAAAGGACAAATAAACAGAACTAAGGAGCCATGAAATATCGCTTTGGGGGAACTGTGGAAAGATATACAATGGAGAACACCGAAAACCAAGCACTCAGACCCTCATCCGGTTCTTCCCCCTCACCCCCCGTGAGCTCCGGCGGCTCCCCCAGCCCCCCTCACGGCGGGCCACAGCACCCGCAGCCGCCCGCCGACTCCTTGCCCGCCGGGGCCGAGGAGGGGCGGCGGGCCCGCGGCCGTCCCCACTGACCTGCCGGCGGCGGCTCTCGGGCAGGGCCGGGGTCGCGGGGGGCGGCCGCGTCCCCTCAGCCGGGTCCCCTCAGCCCGCGCAGCCGCCGCGCCTGCCGCACGCGCACGGCCGCCTTACACCCCGCCTGCTCGGATCTCTCCGCTCCCGCCTCAGCGCGGCCCTCTCGCCTCTCCAAGAGGACCCCTCGGGAGAAAGCCCAGCCAAGCCAGGAGCACTCCCTGCTCGGCGCTCGGCGCCCGCCGCCCCGCTCCCCTCGGCGGCCCAGCGCGGGGCTGGAATTCAAACCACGCAGCGGGACTACTTCACCACCGCCGGCGGAAGCACATGCTTTCTGCACACGCGCGCGCGCGACCTGACGGAACGCATTTAAAGGCCCACGCGCTGTGCACGTCGGGAGTTGTAGTCTTCTCGCGGCGGCTCCCCTGGCCGCCCGAGGGCCTCGCACCGCCCCGCGGCGGCGCCACGCCCACCCGCCGCCGATAGCCAATGAGCGAGCGAGGGGCGGGGCTTCCCGGCGCGGTGCGCGCGCGGGGGGCGGTGCCCGGAGTTGGTTGTTGCGCGCGGGCGCGGCGGTCGCAGCCCCGTCCCGGGAGCCGCGTCCTCGGCGGGGCCCGGCGGGAACGGCAGCCCGAGCCCGCACCGAGCCTGCGGGGCGCAGCCGCCGCCTCCCCGCGGGAGCTGCCGCGGGGCCGGGGAGCCCCTGCCAGGTGAGAGGCGGCAGGGGGGTGACGGCCCCTCGCGCCGTGAGGGGGGTGACGGCCCCTCGCGCCGTGAGGGGGGTGACGGCCCCTCGCGCCGTGAGGGGAGGCCGGGGGGCGGCGGCGGCGGTCAGCTTTGCTCAGCGGGGCCGCGGGCGGGGGCAGCGAGCGGGGCTCCAGCGAGCCGGGCTCCAGCGGGGCGCAGCCGCCGCCTGCCCGT